AAAATTACATTAGTAAATCTTCATCTCTTATTATTTACAAAGAGAATTTCCAGGTTTGCAAATTACAAGCGATTAGATATTCATCTTTACAAAAGGTGGTCAAGAAACATAGGATAAGTGCACAAGGTAGCCCATGTGTACAAAGTAATCATAGTGTCCAGATGTAAGAAAAAGTAGACCCATAGGTATACAAGTTACTTATATTACATAGAAGATAATGCACAGCCCAATGAGACCAGCAGAAGATAATGTCTAACTAAGAATTTGTAAAAGAGAATGTCAACTGTAAACAGTGTGCTAAAGAGAATATCCAGATGTAGAAGAAAAGCAAAAAGGATGTTTTAACTGCAGAATATACCACAAAACACCTGAATTACATGAACATAAAATCATTTTTTAACTGTTTGGACTAGTACAGAATCTACAAAGTAACAGGATGTGCAGTTATACATGCTATTCAAGAAAGAATGAGCAATTATATAGAGAAAATATAAGACAAGTTACGAATGTCTAGTATTAAAGGTAATCACCAGCCATATAAGAGAAGAAACGCAGGATGTTCTCATTTCCATCATCAGTACTTTGCTTTACATTTAGGCTCATTTATCTTTCTCTAATTAAAAGTACATGATGTATGATTAAATGTGATCAGATTTCAACAGGAAGAAACTTTGCTAGAGGTTATCAAGGTCCAGCCTTGAATACATAATTGAACTATCAATGAAAAAACAACAAACTATTTTCAGCTTTATATAAGTACTTAAGGCAAAAATGTACAACATACAAATCAAAGTACAGATTGTAACTTTGTTAACCATTCAAGCCTGTAATTTGGTGATTTAGACAACATTTTTATAAACTACATACCACCTTTGATGTAAGTATGAATTCAAATTTATATGTATCAAGAATTTATACATATAAGACCTAGTTCATAAATATATTAAACAATGTCTAGATTCAACACATAACAGCCAAAGTCTTTCACACACAGAAGATTTATCTCTGGTTTGAAGCGATTGAAACACCAACAACTATCAACTTCCCATCTTGCAAACTGGCCAAGATGTGAGATTTGCTAGGAGTGACGGTAACAGCAAGGATTGGGAGATGCAGAGACAACGTTGTAAATGGCTTCAACCTATAAGATAATGTTACAAAAATTAGTTTTAATAGATTTGTTTTCTAAACCACACTAGAATACAAATGTCAAGATCTTAGTGTAGTAGTCTATAAAGTTTGTACAAGCATATATAAATGTGTGTCTGTGTGAACCTTCAATTTAAAAAAAATATCAAATTAAGATGGCTGAGATACAAAAAACATAATGTTGGTTAGAATTATATTTATATAAGCCATTTGGTGTACTTTGGTGACAGATTTTCTT